ACAGAGATAGGGAGGGGGTGTAGGGGTTGTTGGAGGTTACAGAGATAGGGAGGGGGTGTAGGGATTGGAGGAGCTGACAGAGATAGGGAGGGGTGTAGTGGCTGGAGGGGGTGACAGAGATGGGGAGGGGGTGTAGGGGTTGTTGGAGGTTACAGAGATAGGGAGGGGGTGGAGGGGTTGGAGGAGCTGACAGAGATAGGGAGGGGTGTAGGGGCTGGAGGGGGTGACAGAGATAGGGAGGGGGTGTAGGGCTGGAGGGGCTGACAGAGATGGGGAGGGGTGTAGGGGCTGGAAGAGACAGGGTGGTGTGTGGGCACACAAGCTTATGAAAGCAAGAATGTGAATTTTAAAATGAAAGCCTTTCACAGGGAGAGCTACAATTGAGGTTCAGCGTGGAAGGTAAACGTCACTGAGATATCAGAGTCACCGTGTGGGGCTGTGGTGGGTGAACACTCTGTTCCCCTCAAACTGTGGAAACATGGAGTTACTGAACAGGCGCAGTGCATTCACATACCGCTTTCTCCAGGCTCTCCTCACTCGGCATGTGATCCAGGTCCACAAATGGGTGTGTAAAGAATTCCTCAAAGGTTATCCTCTGTTCCGGATCCCTCTCTAACAGCCGCAGCAGTAAATCTCTACATTCCCTCGAGACCCGGGAGCCTGGGGGAAGCTGAAACCAAACAGGGTTTGGTAAGCATTCGAAAAAATGTCAAGGAATTACCCTGAAGGAGGATGAGTGCGGGAGGAGACGTGCAACAAGTATTGCACCTTGTCAGTAAATATTGTGTTTGCAGTTTCAAAGTTGTATCAATTCAGGACAAGATGGTAAATTTAAACGCGTGTCAATATCAGATGATTTTATTAATTCCTATTTTCCTGTTGGGGGTACACCAGCTTCACACACAGGAGATTCTCAGCCCTATAGGATCCACCACTTCTGACAAAGGGTCAGGAAATGTTAACTCTGCTTTCCCTCTCCACAGATGCTGCCAGACCTGCTGAGTTTCTCCAGCAATTTCTGCTTTTGTTTCAGGACCCACTAGTTAATGTGTCTCAGCATCATCAGAAACCCCAGTAAAGTTGGTATGCACCTCAGCATCACAGACTAACATCCAGATTCCACTAACATAGTGTTCCTGGTTATGGAATGATTAACAAAGTAGAAATAGCAAGATTAACTCTTTTCATCTGTTGATTTGGGGATTGATATCGCTCAGAACTCCAGATATAATTCCCCTGCTCCTGTTCAGGATACACATACACCTGAACCTGATCTAAAGTCTCACCCCTGACAGTGCAGCACTCCCCCAGCACCGCACTGGGGCAAGCGTTGGCTTCAGTTTTTAATGTGCTCAGCTCCCTGGAATGAGACTTGAACTCACAGCTCTGTGACTCAAAGGGGACCTGATCTGTAGCCACAGAGCTCCTATAAAAAATTTTAATTGTGTAGGTAGAGACCCTCACAAATGCTCCAACGTGCTTTACATCACAACAAACTCCGTAGTGGTACGCACAGCAAGATTCCACAAATGTAACCAGATATCTACGTCCATATAAGTGGAGAGGGTTGATAGTAATAAACATTTCCCCTTAGTGTGGTGGAGTTAATTACTGAGGGGAGTTGGGGGTGGGTGGGTGATGGAGGGCAGGGTGTATAGATTTAAGGGATAGGAGATTTAGGGAATTCCTTTTCACCCAGTTGGGAATCTGGAACTCACTGCTTGGAAGGGTGGTCATGACATTTAAGAAGAATTTAGATGATCACGTGCAATGCCATAGCAGACAAACGGTGGCCAGATGCTGGGAAATGGGATTAGGGTAAACAGACGCATGGGGACTGGTGTGCACACGGTGGGCCGAAGGGCCGCCTTCTATGCTGCAAAACTCGATCCTTTTCTCTTCAAGTGTTGGTGACGCGGTGCAGTGCAAGCTACAGTTGAATAGCTGGCAGGAACCCCGCAGGTGAAGAACACTCGCTGGGTGACTGGAGGTCACAAGGATGGTTAGGGATCTGTCTTCAGCCTTGGGCTCTTACTCTCGGGACAAAGTGCGGCCCCAGCTGCAGCTGAAGGCAACAAACCCACCGGTAAACTGGAGAGAGGTGAGGTTGTGGGGTAGGGGAGTATAACCCACAGTCTGTCCGATTGTAACCACGGGGAAGATCCTGAGGGCTAATGGTGTGGAAACCCTGAACTCAGCCACAGATTAGACCATCCACACTCGGGCTCTTGTGGCCCAATGGTAATGTCCCTGCCTCTGAGCCTGATGACCAGGGTTCACATTCCACATGTCTGAACAGATGGATTGAAAGTATCCAGCCCGTCCACACTATATAATGCATGTTGCTCTATCCATGTAGGAGGCCGCCACCTTGTGTCAGGATGTGAAATAGGTTGAGAAGCTCGTTTCCTGCTTTGCCACGAAACAAATTGAATGAATGAATTACCTTTATTGTTATGTGCACTAGCGCTGTCTCAGGTTGAGAGTACCTAGGCACAGATACTTAAGCATTTGGTACAAAATTCGAAAGAACAATAAATAAAAGTCCAGCATAAGAATAGAAACGGGAAATAACAAGTACTCAAATTACATCCCCTTTCACACCAGTCCATGCCAGGTTCAAAACTCGAGGTCTTGCCTCTGGTCCACGAGGGACTCGCATCCCCCTCCCTCTACGCGCTGGCCTCTGGGCCTGGGGCTCGCCTTCCCCCCGCGCCCTGGCCTCCGGGCCTGCGGCTCGCCTCCCCCTGCGCCCTGGCCTCCGGGCCTGGGGCTCGCCTCCTCTATCCCTCCCCCGAATAAGTTTAAAGTTAAAAGTTTGAAAAAAAAACTCCAGGTAGGGGGAGGGGAGGCAGAAAAAGTAAAAGAATGGCCAGAACAGAGGAGCTCTGGCTGGAGCATTCTACACTGCCACCAACTTGACCATCAAATACTCAAGAGATGGTGAAGCCTGTTGGCAATAAAGCAGTGATGGTGGTTTCGCTGAGAATGACATGGGGGTGTTTAAAATGGTTTAATGGTGAGAAACAATATATCGGATTGAGGTATACAAGATTCTGAAATAAGCAGAAAGTGCTAGAAAAACTCAGGATTGCTGGAGAGGGAGAGAGAGTTAATGATTCTTCTTCAGACCTGATGAGGGCTAGAAAAATGAGAGGACATCGAAGCAAATCACTGCTTCACCTTGGGTGTGTTTTGGGCCTTTGGACAGTGAGGGGATTGGGGGAAGGTAAAGGGACAACTCCGACTTTACATGGGGATGCGACATGGGGGTAAATGAAGGGGGACTTCCAAAGGAATGGGTCAAGGCGCTTCAGATAGAAGACTCTGGAGACCGGATGGAATGGAAGATTCGGAAGAGATTTGACTGGGGAAAATATGGAGAGATTGTCGCTGCTGTTTGGGGAGATTAAAACACAGGGCACGGTATCAGGATAAAGAAGGATGAAGGATTCGGATCAGAGACGAGTAGGAATTTAGTCACTGAAAAGGTTGTGAAATTATAGGGGAGGCAGCAGCCTAGTGGTATTATTGCTGGACTGTTAATCCAGATCTGGGGTGCTGGGTTCAGATCCTGCCATGGCAGACAGTAGAACTTGAGTTCAATAAAAGTCTGGAACTAGGAACCAAATGATGACTATTGTCGATTGCTGGAAAAACCCATCTGGTTCACTAATGTCCTTTAGGGAAGGAAACTGTCATCCTTACCTGGTCTGGCCTACATGTGACTCCAGACCCACAGCAAATGTGGTTGACTCTTAACTGCCCTCTGGGCAATTAGGGATGGGCAATAAATGCTGGCCTGGCCAGTGACTCCCACATTCCATAAAAAAATCTCTGGAATTCCCTACTCCCGAGGGTTGTGAATACTCCACTGCTGAAGGCTGGAATAGACCATGGCTTGATCATAGAGAAGGGAACTGAGACTCAATGGGCCGAATGGTGCATTCCTGCTTATATTAATTTTGTTTCCTCTTGTGGAGGGGGTCCAGAACAAGACAGGTGTAACTTTAAAATGTGAGCTGGGCCATTCAGGGAAGTTCTCCTTCACACAAACGGTGTGGAAGTCTGGAACTCGCTCTCCCCACTAAATATCATTGTGGTAGCAGATGCAGGGAGGCTCAGTTAAAAATTTAAATAGAAAAGTTTTTTTGTCGGTTAGGGATTTTAAAGGTCACTGAACTGAGGAGGGTGGGTGCAGTTAGGATTCAGATTAGTTGAAGTGTGGAACAGGTTCAGTGGGCTGAATGGCCTCCTCCTGTTCCTATGTTGCTGTAATTCTCTCACCATACCCCAGGCTCTGTGCCCACTGGCTCACATCTCACCATACCCCAGGCTCTGTGCCCACTGGCTCACATCTC